CCTACGCGAACAGTACGCCTCCGAGTTTCAGCAGTAATAATTTAATTTAAGACCATGAACTCACGAGACCCGGAAATATTAAGCAAATTGTAAACAAGAATCAGTACCTGAAGATTGCATTAGGCATGAAACTCTTATGCATTTTTATTAATATATAATTAATAGCTGTATTATTTAGCATTTTAATGTTTTTCTTAACATAAAGGATATATTTACGTACTTGTATGTGAACACTTGCACGTACATTTATTCATATTTATTCATCTGATATATTCATGTTTACACACACATGCACACACACATATAGATATATAAATATCTTTTTTCGAAGCTAAAAGAACTATGTTTAAATTATTTAGATTATTGCATTAAATAAACCAAAAAGTTGTTGATATGCTGGTAAACAATATTAAAAAAACTAACAAAATTATCATGTGTCTTAATACTTTACCTAGCTTCTGGGAAGCATATTTTGCTATCGGACGCTAATGGGATATTGGTGGATGGTTTTCAGAACTTATCCGGCGCCAAAAGTTATTTAAAAGACACAGGAGGCTCTGTAGTATACTATTTCGTTAATCGAAGTCAAGTTTGTTACAAAATAAAGGTGTAGGCAAGAATAACTCACGCGTTTCAACAATCACTTGATACTATCTCTTCTGAAAGTGTGAAAATAGTTCCTTTAATCTGTCGATGCTTAAGCCACATATGCCATGGCAAGTACTTAACCACAAGTTCAAACGAGATACAAAATCCGATTTTAGATCACTACTAATTCTCCTCCATCAGAGTTTAATGTAATAATTAGAGAGTGAATAAAGATCAATTTAAAGTCTTAAACTAATTCCGCTTTAGACTAATCATGGTGAGTAAGTTTCTTTTTTTGCTTTTTAATGTCTCCTTCTCGCCTTCTCTATAAATCACTTTAACTGAAGCAAGGCAAGAAAGCCACTAAGACGCAAGGGGGTTACTGAGTGTGAAAGAATATAAGAAAATGAAAATATTATTAAGGAGCAAAGACATTAAATGAAAAGAATGTAAGAGGACATAAGATAATCATTAACATTGAATTTTAATTTTTGAAGATCAAAGTTGACTGGAAATCAAGAGGCCGGAAGAGAGTTCCACAATCAAGAAGTGCGAGAGAAGAAACTGTTAGCATAGAACTTACGGTTACATCTAGCCATTTCAACTGTAAAATGTTGAGCTCTTGCTGGTAATCTAGTAGTGAGATAAAATTCGGGTACCATAAAATAAAGGAACATTTATTTTGTAATTACAAAAATGTGAGACAAGGCCAAAAGCGGGGTAAGGGATAATCTATCTTATCTTACACTTATCTAGCCACAATTACTGACCACAAAATACCACAGTATTCATAACACCAAAACAACACATTCTTACCATTCTTACTACACCCACAATAATACCCCAAAATGTCTCTCTGTCCTGGGTATGACGATAAACTACATCCGCGTCCAGGGTAAGACGATAAACTACGTCCAACAGCACCGTCCTGGGTATGACGATAAACTACATCCGCGTCCTGGGTATGACGATAAACTACTTCCAGCAGCAAGGCCTCTGATCCGGAGGCTTTGAGGAGCGTGGAACCACCTCTTAATTGCTGGTGCTCCCAGGTCCAACATGATCCTGGGTGGTAGCACCTGTTGGGGTCCCAACTATGGGCAAATAGTTAACCCCTAAACTTGGGTCAAAAGACCATGAAAGTGTAAAAATACATTTTAATACCAGAAATACTTTAAAAATTATTACCAGCAATACTTTTTTGAAAAAGAAATATTATCAACAATGTTTTTGAAAAAGAAATATTACTAGTAATACATTTTTGACAAAAATTATTTCCAGCAATATACTTTTGAAGTAAAAATATTACCAGAAATAGATTTTTGAAAAAACAAAATTTTACCATTAATAAAGATTTTGTCGACATTAAATAACCCAATGAGATTGATATGCCGTAAAACAAACCAAATCAAACCCAAACTGTCTCTAACTAGTTTCCATATGTACAATTTGTCTGTTGGGTTGGATGGGAGATAAAATCTATAGCGGAAAGTTCATCAGGCGAATTACCGTGAAAGTATTTATAGACAAATCACAGAGAAGCTACCCTACAGAGATCGGAAAGTGACTGAGGCCGAGATGTCAGATAAGGACCTATGACATTACAAATTTTTTTTTTGATTTTACCAAGGATCTCTAAATACATAGCCGGAACACCAGAATAGATGTGGAAAGTTGAACAGCGATATCTACGACCAAATCACTTTTTAACACGTTCTTTGTCATTCCTTCATTAACAGTAATGATATGTACTGTTAAAGCACGAAAATGCCTGCCTACAGGATACCCATGCTACTCAACATGACTTACAAAACATTAGGCAACTTCCCTATCTGGCATGATCACTAGGTACTCCACACATTGAACATGGATCGGGCGACCCCCAATCGTTAGCTTAGCCTATTGAAAACTCTAAATATTTCCTCAGGCGGCACAAATGGCAATGGAAAATATGATTTTCCAAGCTTATCTTACATGTGGCACAAGGCCGAAAGTATGTGGCACCCAGTGAGGATCGAACACACTATTTACTTTTCTTTGAAAGTTCGCCACTGCCTTAACCTTAACTTTCAGAGGGAAATTAGCAGATAATTAATAACTGACTTCCATCAAACATGGCACGTGGAACTAGAACAGTCTACCCCAGTGAGCGAAATAAAGGGTTCAGTTCGAAATTCCAACCACCTGAAGAAGGCCGGAGCGTACAATGGCCGAAACGTTGTGATAAATATGGCGACAAATGTGAGGACAATAGTCCGAATAATGTAAATAATTTACATAATATCTCATCTCAGAAATATAGACAGACACTATTTACTCTTAATTGATCTAGAGGGCTTGCTAACCATGAAACTACGTCGAACTGCTCAAAATCATTTTCTATGTGTCGCTCACATGTTACACAAAGCAGGTAGTTTGGAGCACCCAGTGAGGATCGAACTCATTCGTAATTAATCTAACACAAGCTCGCTAAACATTACATCACGTCAAAGTGCGCTTTGATTTTATAAACGTAGATGTGATAGAAGGCCGAAATTTTGGAGCAGAGGTAGAGCACTGAACTCATAATTGATCTAGAGAGACAAGCCTGTTAACCATTACATCATACTGAAGTGCACATTGGCGATGAATAATATGTCGTAGGCCACACCTTCTGCTTTCATAGAGATGGCTGGTAGTACTTAATATAAACAGATTCCAGTACTTTTAAATACCGAAAATTGATTTTTTTTTGTTTTTCTCATAGGTATTAGGGCAAAAGTGAATGCAACGAACCCGACTGGAATTGGAAATTGGTTTTCCGATTAACAATTCTGAGCCGTCATCCATTTCACTATCCGCATATCCAAGCTTACATCACCCGCTATTCCAAAGCGGTCACCCATCGAGATACTGATTAGACTCGACGTTGCTTAACTTTACTCACCTTAGGGGAACCTGCGTTTTAACGTGATGGGGGCGTAAGCCAATAGGAAGTTAAAAATGTATATTTTCTTCACCCTTATTGTTGTTAAAGCCACATTCGTGAAGGTAACCCAATTACATGTACGAGAAAACTGGCTTTCTTTAGATGAGCACTAACCCTTCTCCATCATACAGAAATGATTGTTCTTTAAGTGCCGCGTCCCTTTAGGACATGGATGATAATGGCTCTCGAAAAAATTCCTATTCCTTTACAAAGGCTAATATCTTAACATTTCACCTACTATTCACACAAGCACGTCATGTATTTAGATCACTGCCTTCCGCTATCTCGCTTTTTTTGTTTTTAATCAATTCACCCCAATCATGGCGATGAAGCCATTAAGACGCATGGGGCTACTGAGGAAAAGTGAGAATGAAAATCTTGAAAGGAACCGGAAACCCAAATCCTAAAAATGGAACAAAAGATGGGAGGAGTCTGAACAGGATGATAGGCGAACCTATCTACTTCTGTTGAGGACAAATAATAATTAGAAAATAAAATTTCAGTTCTATGAGTATGGAGATGAAGTAGACTTTAGAAGGAACCGGAAACCCAGTCCTAAACAGGAGACAACGAATAAACCTCTTCGCTTGTTCAAAAAGACCGAGGAGGAGTCTGAACAGTACGATAGGAGAACCTATCTACTCTTATTGATGAGAAAATAATTAGTAAATAGTCAAGGTAGCGGGTTACTGGGTGACGTTGTTTGAGTATAAGAAGCAAAAAAATCGTTACAAAGGAAAGAGTACTGAACTGTTACGCGATGTCAGACTTTCTCTATGTTTTTTTTTCTGACACAATGCTCAGAAGCCACTCAAGGTAGAATGTTACTGCTTTCTGTTGTATCAGCATAAGAAAGAGCAAGAAGTAGAGCTATAATCCTATGTAGAAAAGAAAATGGCTAATAGTAGGCTTGAATATTTAGTTATGGAATAACATTTCAGAGTTCAGATGGAGACGTTAGAAGTTTTAGGAGACATTAGAAGGAACAGGGACCAAAGGATAAATCTATAGTCCTCTACGCTCTTATATGGCCTGTGAGGGTTATGTTTACCAAGTCCTCTTTCTTCATTAAGAAATTTAAGATGTCTCTTTTGGATTCTGAATATAAGTGTTTCTGTTACCGTGTTCTGAAAGTGCATCAAGATCAACTTTCAATCTTCAGCTTATACTTCCATAGACTAATAGTTTCTATATTTTGAAACCAGCTGTATAAAATTTACATCGTAATGTCAATTCCAAACCGACTTTCAACCGCAGAATTGTTCTACTCCTATACTTACAGATAGCAATGGTAAACTTATGTTGTAGGTTTAGGAGTTAGTCCGAATTGTTTCTTGGAAAAAAGCCAGGCCAGGGTGCCTTCAGGAAAGCGAGAGAAGATTTTCGGCCATGTCGAACGCGGGTGGCATGATAACGGAACGTCGGCGGATGGAGGTATTGATTTTTATGGCAGCTTGGAAGAACAAGGAAGATAAATAAGAGTACAAGAAGAAAGACTGAAGAAGAGCGAGAGAAAGAGAAATATAAGGAAGAGTGATGACATTGTACCAAAGGTTAGAGGTGAAGAATAATCGATAGTCAGTGTGGATACATAGCCGAGAGAGGGTAATATATGAGACGGGTGGAGAAAGAAAGAAAGAAAGAAAGAAAGAGAGAAAGAAAGAAAGAAAGGAAGGAAGGAAAAGAAGGAAAGAAGGAGGAAAGGAAGGAAAGAAGGAAGAAAGGAAAGGAAGGAAAGGAATGAATGAATGAATGAATGAAGGAAGGAAGGAAGGAAGGAAAGGAATAAATGGAGGAAGGAATGGAATGAAGGAAGGAAGGAAGGAAGGAAGGAAAGGAAAGGAATAAATGGAGGAAGGAATGGAATGAAGGAAGGAAAGGAAGGAAGGAAGGAAGGAAGGAAAAGAAGGAAGAAAAGGAAGGAAGGAAAGGAAGGAAGAAAAGGAAGGAAGAAATAAAGGAAGGAAAGGAAGGAAGAAATAAAGGAAGGAAGGAAAGGAAGGAAGAGCAGAAGGAAAAGAAGGAAGGAAGGAAGGAAAAGAAGGAAGGAAGGAAAAGAAGGAAGGAAGGAAAGGAAGGAATAAAGGAAGGAAGGAAGGAAAAGATAGAAGGAAGGAAAGGAAAGGAATGAAGAACAGAAGGAAAAGAAGAAAGGAAAAGATAGAAGGAAGTAAGGAAGGAAAGGAAGGGGGGAAAGGAATGAAGGAAAGGAATAAATGTAGGAAGCAATGGAATGAAGGGAAGGAAGGAAAGGAAGGAAGGGGAAACTAAAATGTGTAGAACAGACACTCCCTGGTGAAAGGAAAAGATAGAAGGAAGGAAGGAAGGAAGACAGGAAGGAAGGAAGGAAGGAGAAACTAAAATAAGTGTGTAGAACAGACACACCCTTGTGAAAAGGAAAATAATTTATGCTCACAACATTCAAGTCCAACATATTTTTATTGCAATCAATGATAATATGATAGCAATGCGTTTTACACTATTAACCAATTTTAATTTTTCCTAACACGTAATAAGAAAAGTAGTAAAGAAATTTAGGCACAATCATTTACGAAGCGTATAAAGGTCTTATGAAGGGCATGAAGGTCCCCGGAAGCATAGAAGCAGTACTTAGAATATATCGGAAAATATGCTAACCTATTAAAATATATATGGCAACTCAAAACCACAAAACAACGAAAACAGCACCCGCATCATAACGAAAAAGAGTAAATTAAAATCCTATAACTCTTGGCGCCGGATAAGTTCTGAAAACCATCCACCAATATCCCATTAGTGTTCGATAGCAAAATATGCTTCCCAGAAGCTAGGTAAAGTATTAAGACACATGATAACAAAGAAAAAACGTACAGAGGAAAATAAATACATAAAAATAACATAGTAATATTAATTGATATTATATTTAATAAAGTAAATAAATAATTTAAATGAATAAAACTATAAATTACAAATAAATAAATTATATATATATATATGGTGTTTTTTTTAACATTTAATTTACTATAAAACATTAAAATCTATTTTTTTTACATAAATTGCTAAAAATATAGCACCCCCTTCTTCCTTCGTAAAACCTAATTACAAGTTCTTTCTCTTTACTTCCCACCTCTTTCATTTTTCTTTTTCTTTTTATCTCTTCTCCACTCACACTTCAATATACCACTTCCGTTAAGTTAACCGTTTAAATTGGTCTAGATCTGGTCCCTCCTCCCCCAGTACAAAGTATGATTGAAAGAAATATTAAAATAATCCCTCTCTAAACAACCATGTCTCTACCTCCACTCCTCCCTATCCTCTCTGTTAAATTACATAAACTTGATACTACCCGTCAAAGTATGAATTTTCATTTCATCTTTCATTTCATTTTTGGAAGTGTTATCTGATGATCCAGTGTCCCTTAAAAGGGCTCTGGTGAAATAAATTATTATAATGGAACCTTAAAGTGGACTGTTTTTCTTTAATATATATATATATATATATATATATATATATATATATATGGTGTATTTCGGCATCAATAATTGTCTCAAACATGTTATGTTTAATGTGGAATAGGGAAGTTACAGGAAGTTTGTATGTAAAAGGCTAGATTTATTCATGGTTATGATTTCACTCTCAGTCTCTCTCTCTCTCTCTCTCTCTCTCTATATATATATATATATATATATATATATATATATATGTGTGTGTGTTTTTAAATAATATGGACAAGTTTTTCCATCAATCTTTTTTTATTAAATCTTTCAAATTTCCGAATAAGTTGTTTTTATTGGTAAATTTATCAAAATTCATACTACCTTTTATTTTATATTATTTTTCCCAAGAACTTTTAAATGATATTCCACCTGTTTCCGTTGTTTCAAAATGAGTTTGCTATATTGTTGTTGTTTTTTTTTTACGTATATGGTGTTGTAAATCAGAGCTTTTTTTTTTTTTTTTTTTTTAAAGTGGTTTTGTATAATCCTGTAGTATTAATGTTGAAAAAAATTGTAAATTTTTATATTTCGGGTATAAATTAAAAACAAAATCATGACAATGAAACTCGACCTAACAATCACACCTTCTGCTTTCATAGAAGATGGCTGGTAGTACTTAATATAAACCGATTTCAGTACTTTTAAATACCGAAAACAAGCACAATGATGACAGTTTAATACCATAAATTGCAGCGTACAAGTTGACCTCAAGATTTTTAGCTCAAAATTCCGAATTAATCCTATACATAACGTATAGGTCAACCGACAAACATACGGTAGACAACAAGTAGCCGAAAACATAGGTCTACTGATAAATGAAGTAAGGCTTCAGTTTACGATAATCTGTGCCAAAAGTACATAAGGTCAGACCACTTACATGTATACTGAGACACTTACCGTAAAATATTTCTATATGTGTTGTATAGAAAACAACCTGCACCCCGGTAGGTACAAAGGCAATTAAGTTGTGAAGTGCCATCATCGTTCTGATCCAAAATGGATACGGTATATAGATCAAGAAGATATCAATGTTATCACATTTAAGTAATGTAAATTTATTTCTGTCTGTCCTTCTTTCTGTTGTATCCTTAAGGAAGGTGACAAACAGACAAAGGTGCTACTCGAGTGAAAGGAACAGCAACACGCGCGTAGATGAAAGAAAGAGAAAGTTTATTGTAAAAGAGAATACACTACTGAAAGACAGGGAATTCGTTAGCAGGCTAGTAATTCCCTAAGCAAGGATATCTACCAACTACCCAAGGCGGTCAGATGTGGCAAAAAGCCGAATTTAATGTAGGGTTACCCGAGGCTGTAAGCTCGGCCAAAAATTCCCCCTATAAAACGGAGTCGGGTAGCTTTTTTCCTGAGAAGAGACTTAGCCCTTCAACATAGCCTCGTCTGGGGATCCTCTATGCTATCTATCTATCTATCTATCTATCTATCTTAGTCTGTTTATATCTACCTTAGTCTTTTTATAAGTATGTTAGTCTGTTTCTATCTATCTATGTATGTCTGTTTATATCTATCTATCTATCTATCTATCTATGTATGTATGTTTGTTTCTTTTTTTCTCTCTCTATTTCAGTCTGTTTCTTTCTCTCTCTATCTATGTCAGTCTATTTCTTTTTTCTGTCTGTCTGTCTGTCTATCTATCTATCTAAGTCTGTTTCTTTTTTCTCTCTCTCTCTATCTATCTAAGTCTGTTCTCTCTCTCTCTCTCTCTCTCTCTCTCTATCTATCTATCTCAGTCTGTTCAACTTATTTTTCTATCCAGAGGTGCTGTTTTTTAACCGAACCACCAACATCTGAATTTAGTGGGGTGAGGGCTGTTCTGTTATCAGTCTTGCTGCGAACTATTCAATCTCTATTAAATATTATGTATTCTTTCAATACTTTAGCAAAAAACCCATTAGACGGATACAATAATACTATTAAATAAAGCTACCTTTTATCGCAATTGATTACTAAGTACTTATTCTGATTTTTACCCGCCGAACCAAATATAACGCACATTGAGGATTGCTGAAATCGGAGCAGTCTACTATATAAACGAATTAGGGATGTCATATATCGTTAGTTGAGGATATTGAAGAGGGGTGCTGAAATATTCTCGGCTTCATTCACACATGAAAATCTGGTCAAAAATTTAAAACAAAAAATTAATTTCTTTCTGAAAGCTTTTCAACAACCCCTCGTAGTACAGAGTATAAAATTAATAATATTGATCGAATTAGTGAGTTTGCAGTGAAATAAAAATACATCAATAAATAAGGTCTATTGTTTAAGGGAATGTCTGCATCTCTCGCATACACAGAGAAAGAAAGAAATGAAGGAAGGAAGGAAAGAAATAGAAAAAAGAAGTAAAAAAAAAAGAATGAAAGCAGGAATGAAGAAAGGAAGGAAGGAAATGCAATAGGAAGGAAGGGAGGAAGGAGGTAAAGAAGGAAGGAAGGACAATAAGGAAGGAAGGAAAGAAAGAAAGAAAGGAAAGACTATAAAGCAGGAAGGAAGGAAGGAAAGAAAGAAAGAAAGACAATAAAGAAGGAAGACAGGAAGAAAGGAAAGACAATAATGAAGGAAGGAAGGAAGGAAGAAAGGAAAGACAATAATGAAGGAAGGGAGGAAGGAAGGAAGGGAGGAAGGAAGGAAGGAAGGAAGGAAGGAAGGAAGGAAAGAAAGAGAATAATGAATGAAGAAAGAAAATGCAATAAAGAAGGGAGGATGGATGCAAAGACAGAAAATAAAGAAGGAAGAGAGGATGGAAGGGAGTAAAGAAATACAATAAAGCAGGAAGAAATGAAAGACAATAAGGGAGGAAGGGCGGGAGGAAGGGCGGAGGGAAGGAAAGAAGAAAGGGCGGAGGGAAGGAAAGAAGGAAGGGCGGAAGGAAGGAAGCAAAGATGGAAGGAAGGAAGAATGGAAGAAAGGAAAGAAGGAAGGAAGGGCGGAAGGAAGGAAAGAAGGAAGAATGGAAGGGCGGAAGGAAGGAAGGGAGGAAGAAAGGACGGAAGGAAGTAAGGGAGGAAGAAAGGACGGAAGGAAGTAAGGGAGGAAGGAAGGAAGGGCAGAGGGAAGGGCAGAAGGAAGGAAGAATGGAAGGACAGAAGGAAGGAAGGAAGAATGGAAGGGCGGAAGGAAGGAAGGCAGGAAAGAAGGAAGAATGGAAGGAAGGAAGAATGGGAGGGGGGAAGGAAAGAAGGAAGGAAGAATAGAAGGAAGGAAGAATAGAAGGGGAAGGAAGGAAGGAAGAAGAATGGAAGGGCGGAAGGAAGGAAGGCAGGAAAGAAGGAAGAATGGAAGGAAGGAAGAATGGGAGGGGGGAAGGAAAGAAGGAAGGAAGAATAGAAGGAAGGAAGAATAGAAGGACAGAAGGAAGAAAGGAAGAATGGAAGGGCGGAAGGAAGGAAGGCAGGAAAGAAGGAAGAATGGAAGGAAGAAAGAATGGGAGGGGGGAAGGAAAGAAGGAAGGAAGAATAGAAGGAAGGAAGGGAGGAAGGGCGGAAGGAAGGAAAAACAATAAAAGAGGGAGAATGGAAAGATTTCTAAGATGGGAAGTGAGCAACAAAAAATGCAATCTATCAGAGTAGTGATGAACAGATGTGTCATAAATACATAAACAAATAAATAAACAAATAAAGAAAGAAAGAAAGAAAGAAAGAAAGAAAGAACGAAAGAGAAAAAGAAAGAAGAGAGAAATAACAAAAGAAGAAAAGAACGCTAGAAATTGCAGCAATGATTAATAGCCAAAATGTAAAATATAGAAAGCAACCAATTTCGAACTGAACCCTTTATTACGCTCACTGTCTACCCCAGTGAGCGTAATAAAAGGTTCAGTTCGAAATTCCAACCAACTGAAGAAGGCCGGAGCGTACAACGGCCGAAACGTTGTGATAAATATAGCAACAAAGATGAGAACAATAGTCCTAATAATGTAAATAAAGAAATGAATAAATGAAAAAAAAAGGGGGAGAATGAAGGAAATTACTTCGTTGATTATTACACTTGTAAGATAGAAAGCAAACAATCGAGAAAAGGTGAAGCACATCATAGCAAGGTTGGACAGAGCGACAAGAAAAAAAGAAAGAAAGAAGGAAAGAACAAATGAAAGAAAGAATAAAACAAAGCAGGAATTGACGAATAATGACGTAATACAGAATAAAGGAAAGAAATGAAGGAAAGAAGGAACGAACGAACGAATGAATGCATGAATGAATGAAAAAAAAGAAAGGAAGGATATTACTTCAAAGATTACTATAGTTGCAAGACAAAAGCAAACAAGAACGAATGAAAAAACATCAGAGCAATGATGAATACGGGTGGCGTGGGTAAAAAGTAAGAAATAAAAAACGAAAGAAAGAAAGACGAAGGAATTAAGATATTCATATACAATTGGTATTGCCTATTTTTTAAGTGCCAGAATTGTCAAATTCTTTGATATATATAAAATTTGCATATGGTTAAAAGTCGAGTTCAGACGAAAAAGAATTCTCGTTTTTTCCTTTTATTATAAATACTTGGCATGAGTCAACCAGTGCATTGATTAAATAGCAAGAACGGACAGGACAAAATAATTACTTTACAGTCACTTTTATGTGTCAGGTTCTTTTGAGGACTTTGGTGACTTTCCACATCTTCTTGTCGTTTGTTGTTCTAAGTAATTTTTACCGTTTACCATTCCTCCTGTCATTCATTCGCAGAAAACCGTTTAGTTATTCGCTGTTTCCTCCTGTCTCTGTTGTTTTCAACATTTCTTGTTACTGTTAAATTTGTTTAATCATTTCAACCCAAGGAAGGAAACAAAACAAGACGCAAGTGGTTACTAAGCGTGAGTGAATATAAAACGAGAGCATTATTAAGGAGACAGAGATCAATGAAAGAACCGGAATTAAGTTAAGATTGACACTGAATTTAAATTTTGGAAGATCGATGTTGGCTGGAAAGCAAATGGCTGGAAGAGATTATTACAAGCGAGAAGTGCGACAGAAACTGTCATTATTGGACTTACAACGGGATCTATTCTTGGACCTACGTTTTCCTAACTTTCCTCAACGACGTTCCTGATATCAACAATCTCTCCTGTCTTAATAGTAGTTGGCTAAATTGGTTGATTTCGTTAAGCGGCATATCAACCTCTATGAGTTATTTAACGCCGAAATCTAAATATTATGAACATCAATTTTATGGCTTCAACTACATATATCTAGAATGTAATTGTATGCCTTCACCTACAAATAAAATGTATTATTTATATTTTCTACATTGTTCAGACTGTTGTCCTGATCTTTATTGTCATATTCACGACTTTTCGGCCTTTGTACACTCAGGCCTTCTTCAGGGGATTGGAATTTCGAATTGAACCTTTTATTTCGTTCTAAATATTTTTCTAATTCCACGTGCCATGCTTCTTCCGGATATCTCAGTTATCTCCCTTTAACTCAACTCTCCAAGTTTTTTTTTTTGGTTCATCACTACCGTAGTCAGGTATTGAACTCACAACTCTTTGGGTAAGGTTACTGGATCCAACCAACCGCAGGGCCATGTCTCTTTGAGGAGAATAATCTACCTCTAGTTCACTTCGAAATTCCTTTCACCTGAAGAGGACCGGAGCGTACAACGGCTGAAACGTCGTGGATATGGTAATAAAGATGAGGACGAGTCCGAACAATGTGAATAATGTAAATAATTACAATATTCTATCTCAAAATATAGACAGGTATAAAATATATATTTTTATTTTGGTATGAAGTGTATTAGTAATTCTCTAATAAAATTGCATTGCTGGTCATTTTGATTTAAAATAAATGTGTATTGTTGGTAACTGTTTTAATATGTTAATTATAGTATAAAACTGTATTTTTATACTTACATAGTATTCTTTTGCTTGGGGGCTTACTATTTGCTCAGAGCTGGGACCCTAACATATACTACCATTCTGAGTCAGAGTGGACCTGAGAACAGCAGCAATTGAATGGTGGTTCCATGCTCCTCAGAACCTCCAAAATTACGATCAGTGGCCGGATGTAGCTTAACGTCTTACCCAAGATTGACGTAAAAGTAAGTCTGATCGGTTTGACAAAATCAAAATGGTAGCTGATATAAAAAAAATGATCTTCAGTAAATGACTTATTAATTTTAACACTTCCGAATCGAAACTGTTCTTTTTTAAGTGACATAAGGGACCTTTTGTGAATTCCATCAGTATGGCTAATACTAACCCTCAGTAAATTAATACATTGAGTTTTCTGGGGTTAATGTTTTCCACTGAGTTGAAAGCCTTCCTTTATAATCAGTATAATCGGAAGGCCTCAACATTTGGCGGGAACACGGCCCGTTGCTTGAAAAATGTTAAATATTTACTTTGAAAGTATTAATTTATTAACCAGAATAAATTCGCAATCTACTGACTTTTTTTTTGTCATTTGGTCTTTTATTGATTTAGTCTTTATTTCCGACTTCGCTCCGCAAATATAATAAACACAAGCGGAAGTCACCTTTTGATTTGAAATTTCGAGTAGATTTCCTCACATAGCGTTATAAGTCCTCACTTGTTCTAAACGTGTAATTAAAATGTTTTTAGTATTAAATCCCGTTACTATTTCTCTAGGTAGCACTGCGCGAACGGTTTATAACACACACTTGAAGATAAAACAAAATAATTAATGTCCCATCAAAAATCACACGAAATAAAAATGATTTCAAACACAAATCTCATCCATTATTTGTAATTTTAATTATCTCTCACGCTATAATTTATAGAATTACTAAATAATAAAACCGTTGAGTGCTTTTCTCATTATTGATTGATAATAAGAAAATCGGGAGTAAAATGTAAAAAAAAAGAAAAAAAAACATTCGAAAATTCTAGAGAGAATTAATTTTTTTTATAAGTTTACAAAACTTACTTTTTTCCCTTTATTTTGAAGATTAATTCTTTTGAAATTGATTACAAAAGTTTATATAAGTTAAATATAGATGAAAGATCAACTGATTTTTTTTTTCAAATCAATATTTCATGTTTTATGTTTGCCGTTATTAATTTCTTTTTCAATTGTTCTTTTACCAAAAGCCAAGAAGTCAATCTTTCTTAATCATGTTTACTTTGCAATGATTAATATTTCCAAAGATATTCCAACCTAATTAATATTTACCAATTCGCCCTACCCACACACAGATTTACTGATTGTCAGTAGTTAAAAGAAACAGTAAATAAATAAATAAAAAGAAGTAAAAGAGACTTGGTTGTACCATTTCAGAATACTATTTTGTTTTTCAATTATCTTGAAAATTTGGAGAAAAGTGTTTGCTTCCAAAGAAACAAAAAACAAACAAAAAATATTCAATAAGATTTTATTTTAACAGAAGATTAAAAGCAATCAAAGAAAGAAGCACAACATAAAAAATGTAAAAAAACTGCACAAAATAACAAAAAAAAAAAACAGTTTTGAACTTTTACTTTAAAAAAAAACTGATGGAAATGAATTAAACTGAATTTACTTCGAACAAAATCGCTAAACATCATAGAATACTAATATACTTACAAAACAACACACACAAATTTGTGAAAGAGACTCCCGAGAGGATGCTTCCTCGAAAACTACTATCTTAACCTACTCAAGTCCAGGGTTAATCATTATATATCTTCCTTATCCGCGTAATATTTATGTGACGAACGTGTATCAGTACAGATTCAAAAGAGGCCCCCAGTTGCATGCGGACATGCCTGTCGAAGTTCGTCACGAAGGGTTTCTCCGTTAGGATCAGACATGCTATGTTCACCGTGGCAAATCACACCCATTCCCATCCTTCCATTTTTTTTTTGTATGTGGGTCTGAGGGATTAATTTGTGTTTTATGGATTATCAACCTTTCAGAAAATATTTTTAGATTGCATTTTGTTTTAGATAATAATGATGTACTGATACAAGTGCCATTTAACACCTAGTTGAGAGAGAAGAAAGAACTTTCCCAAAGTTATTTGCACGTAGCTGAATATAACGCACACGAATAGAATTGGAACTAGATTCTCTACATTTTTCTAAAAGTGAAACGAGTTAACAAAGTTCAGGGAACGTAGGTAAATAACAGATAACCGATGAGTGATTATGCAACCAAGTTTAGAGTTGGGGGAAAAATATCGTAATAAGAAAGGATAACGAATGGAACAGACGGTTGGTTTGTCCTTAATATATAGAAAAATGCAGCGGGAAAAAAATCTAAAACATGAAGCGTGAATCCGCATTCTTTTTGTCTATCTGTCCGAGTCAATGGCTGACTCAGAAAGATTGACACATTATCGACCCAATTGCCAAAATCTTAAGGCAAAATGAAATATATATATTTAGGCATTTAAAACAACATGCCTGCCCGCACACACAATTCCGTAAAATACTTGTCGAAAACACAATTATACTTCGATATGAAAACAATAGACAAAAACTAAAAATCCTTGAAGCATTATACATCAAACAGTTGAAACCCTACCTAAACAAAATCAATTATGGCATCTCTACAAATATCCTTAAATATCTATAATTGGTAACAGAAGCCATTGGTTTATACCAAAGGCTTCCCATACTTCATACTTTTCCAATTCACTCTCGCGTGGTCATGTGTGACGTCATGAGATGCGGTGCGATTTTCACTTCTAGCGTCTTATATGCACGTGTTTATCGTTGCTAAGAAATCATCTATGTAAACAATCACATACTATCATCACTGTCTTGTCTGTATATTGCTTAATATGTTGTAGTTGACATCTTTGATAATGACTTATGTAAGCTGAAAGCTTAGAATGTATTAAATAATATGGCTCAATATTGTGAATTTCTTTCTTCGTTCAACGATAATGTTATTAAACTTATCAGACGTTATGAAAAGAATTTACATAAAATAAATAGACAACATGTATGAATGAAAAGATGCTGCCTAAATACGCACAATATATATGTTTAAATAAAAACAGACCACTTTAAGGTTCCATGTAATAAATTATTTCACCACAGCCCTTTTAAAGGGCTCTGAATCATCAGACTTTATTACATGGAAC